CACTTCCGGTGCAGTTTGACTATCGCTGGTGCACTTTGGGTGCTAACAGCGCCAAAAGTGCACCAACACCGGTGCACTTTTGGTGCACTTTTGGTGCTAAAAGCGCCATAAGTGCACCAGTCACTGGTGCACTTTTGGTGCCCGGAACTTGCCTTTGCGCTCATAAGCAATTATAAACCTAAATAGAAACCGGGTCTGCAACTCTTTCTACGTCCGATTGCAAGGAAGGTCGTGCTGCTCTAAAAGGTCTCAGGTCTGCTTCCGTCGGTTCTTCGGAAGAAGCGATGGGATTCGCAACACCGCGGACCAGAGTCATGCTCGAAAAGGGCCGGATCAGATGCAGCCCCGAAGATGACGTGGGTCTCACTCGGTTTCCAAGTCTGCTTCGTTCCGTTGTGTAGAGTATACATGGCTATGTGAATAGACTCTCGACCGAGGTCGGCGGCTCAGCGATGCTTCGGTTCCTTTGACCGACGCTGGCAAAGGGGCGAAGGAAGCGATCCGTTGCCTTCCTGATGCCCCTCACTCCCTGGCAGCTGCTTGAGACAAGGGCTGGGCAAGGGGAGAGAGATGCTGGGCTGGGAGGTCTGCTGAATCTGCCTACCATCGCCTACCTGACCAACTACGTTCGAAAAGCGGGGGCCCTGAATGTGACCTCCCCATGCCTTCTGCTCGAAATGTTGTTGCTTCAGCTGCCCCACACACATGTACCTCAGCCCCATCCCCGACCCTGAGAACCCGCCGAAACGCACCGACAAGGTCGAAAACAAAACGCGGCGGCAGTTCCGTTGGTACCTATCCAGAAAACTCCAGCTTATGGATGTGCTGGAGCTGGCGCCGCAGCTCCTGCACAAAAAGCTCTGCCGTGCAGCTGGACGGCCTGAGCCTCCAAAAAACGATCCGAACAACTCTCGCCGGTCCCACGTCCTCTAAGGCCTCCGGGGGGATGCGGTTGTCCTTTACGATCAGCTTGAGCTCCTGGAAAGGATGTTTCGGGAGGTCTCGGGAATGCAAAAAAAATCTGTCGCAAATATGTGTCTCTAAAACTAGAAATCCCATGGCACAGCTCGGCGCCGCCACCCCTACCGCCACCTGCGACCGCGTCCCAAAACCGCCCAAGCTCCTGGAGCCGCAGCTCTCGGAGTGCCGCGGCCAGGGCAGTGCAGGCCTCGGCCCCGAGGCCGGTGTCCATCAACCACAGCTCGAGGCTCCGGAGCTCCGGCATTTGACGGAGGCCTCGGCAGAGCGCCCGGCAGCCGGCGACGCCCAGCTCGCGGTTGCCGCCCAGACGCAGCATCAGCTTCGTCAGAACCCTCATCTTCTCGAGGCCCTCCGCCAGGAGCTCTGCACCCTCCGAGGTGATCGCGTTGAAAGACAAGTCGAGCACGAGCTCCTCGCAGCCTGGTCCGATCTGCCGCAGGGACTCGCCGAGAATTCGGCAGCACTCGTCTCCCAGGTCGCAGTACCGCAAAAAGAGGCCGACTCTGCGGGGCAGGCGCCCCGGCGGCGCCGTGAGAGTCAAGAGCCGAGCCTCCGGGAGCTCCTTCGTGAACTTCCAAAGGTCGGAGCGGTAAAGGTTCAGCAGAAGCTCTTCGCAGGGCCCGGGAGGGCCGTGTTGGAGCCAGCTGTTCTCTTCGTCATCCGCGATCCTGGTGCAGTGGACAGCAGAACAGAATCAGAAGCGCTTCTCAATTACACCCCCGTTCTCTTCAGTTTCCACACGCATGGACATGCATCCCCCGCCCTCCGCCCTCACCCGCTCTCTATCTGCAGACCTGGTCGGAATCAAAGTCTGCAGCTGCTCCCGAACAGCGAGGACGCTTCCCCAGCCCCTCTTCTGGGCGACCCCTTCCAGCCGATGTAGCGCAGACATGTAGTCATCACATAGGGCCAGGCGCCCAGCAGAGTACGCGTCCAGCGCCTCGTTCTTCAGCCAGTCCTGCACCTCCCAGGAAACGTGGTCGTGGTACATCCATGCGAGCAAGAGCCGGGCGAAGGGGAGCACCAGGTTCACAATCAGCGCAAAGGGCTTCAGGCCATCGGCCACAGAGATGACGGAGGCGATGACGCCTTGCGGAGCGTCTTCCAGCACCATTGCCCACCGCCTGGTGGGTGTGCTTTGTTTGTAGAATAGCTGCAAGAGCTTCTTCCAAAGACTGTAGCCAGAGCCCACTTTGCTCTTCAGAAACAAGAGGGCGAAGTAGCCCCTGCACAGCTCCAGGCGCGTCGACTTGTTCGGCAGCAGGATGGCCAGGTGAAGCACCCAGAGGTAGCCCAGCGCGCCCCAGCCTCCAGAGAGCATGTGCTGCTTGCGAGGAAGTAGGGGCAACGGAATACTCACCCTCAACATGCTGTAGGCTCCTCCTGCATGTTACATGCCTTACTGCTTCATACATCTTACTTAAGGCTTCCGGCCTATTGCCCGCACCCAGCCGGTGTCTGAGGCGATTGCTTGTGCCGCCAGCACGGAATCCTTCAGAGAGTCGCAGGCCTCGCCTAAGAACGGCACCAGACTGAGGCTGGCCACCGCCACGTCCGCTGCACCGTAGCTCGAGCAGCCCAGCGCCCGCAAGGCAAGGGCCTGCACTGCAGGCTACGCGATCGCACTGTCTATAACAAATCGTTTGGTGTTTGGCCGCGCGCCACGTACGAGCAATGCACTCCGAGCATCC